TTTGTTTGTTGAATTACTTGTATGCTTTGGGTCATTGTCCTGTTGCATCACCCATCCTCTGCGGAGCTTCAGTTGGCGGACAGATGGTCGTACATTTTCCTGCAAAATGTCTTGATAAACTCTGGAATTCATTTTCCCATCAATGACAACAATCCGTCCAGGTCCTGAGGCAGCAAAGCAGCCCCAAACCACGATGCTCCCTCCGCCATGTTTTACAGTGGGGATGAGGTTTTGATATTGGTGTGCTGTGCCTTTTTTTCTCCACACATAGTGTTGTGTGTTCTTCCCAAACAACTCAATTTTGGTTTCATCTGTCTACAGTATATTTTGCCAGTAGTTCTGTGGAACATCCAGGTGCTCTTTTGCAAACTTCAAATGTGCTGCAATATTTCTTTTTGGACAGCAATGGCTTCCTCCATGGTGTCCTCCCATGTACTCCATTCTTGTTTAATGTTTTCTTTATTGTAGATTGTCAACAACAAAAATGTTAGCATGTGCCAGAGATTTCTGTAGGTCTTTAGCTGACACTCTAGGATTCTTCTTTACCTCATGAAGCATTCTGCGCTGTGCTCTTGCAGTCATTTTTACAGGACGACCACACCTAGGGAGAGTAGCAACCGTGCTAAACTTTCTCCATTTGTAGACAGTCTGTCTTACCATAGACACATGAACATCAAGGCTTTTGGAGATACTTTTGTAATCCTTTCCAGCTTCATGCAAGTCAACAATTCTTGATTGTAGGTCTTCTGAGAGCTCTTTTCTGCAAGGCATGGTTCACATCAGACAGTGCTTCTTGAAACCAGTAAACCCAAAACAGGTGTGTGTTTTTAAAGGGCAGGACAGCTGTCAGCAACACATCCAATATCATCGCACTGATTGGAGTCAAGGTTGGCTCACTCCTGGCTCCAATTAGCTCTTGGAGAAGTCATTAGGCTAGGGGCTCACATACTTTTTCCTCCCTGCACTGTGAATGTTTACATGTTATGTTCAATTAAACCATGGCAACATCTAATGTTTGTGTAGTATTATTTTAAGCAGACTGTGTTTTTCTATTGTTCTATTTTCTATTGTGACTTAGATGAAGTTCAGAGCACATTTTATGACCAATTCATGCAAAACTCCACGTAATCCCAAGGGGTTCACATACTTTTTCTTGCAACTGTAGCTGAACTTATCAAGAGAAGCACTACTACCGGTATATCCAGATATAGGCTTCACACTCTCTTCTAAGTTGTTTACTGTTCAAGTGGAATTCTATCTTGAGTGGACTGACACTCTGTTATTTTATTCAAAGAGTTATTTATTTTACTCACTGCATTCAGCCTTTGTATATATTTCCACTGTGAATGTAGCATTAGCTGAGAAACAGCTGGATATAGCCAACATATTGATGCAACTGAATGTTCTGAATATCTTTTCTTTATATACTTGTCAAAAGATAAGAAATTCTGAAGCATCTCAAACAGATTAAGACAATAAACTGTAACCTATCACCTGAATATGTTTGGTTAAATAAGACTAGAAACATCAGAAAAGTTCATTCTAGTCACATTAGTTAAATAATATGATAGGATATCATTCTCTAGTGTATCAAATGCTGCTAAGAGATCCAGTAATACAAAAATCAAAGACATATAACCCTTGTCCATTTCTTGGTGTAGTTCACAGATCCAGATAGCTGAGATTGAAACAGATTGAAATAATCAGTTTTATTCAAGAAAAACCAGAGTATGGTGTTACTGTCACTTTGGAGCTTTCAGAGGAAAAAAAGGTAAAAGTGGAATTTTTATTTCATGGATATTTGAAAACATTAGAGTACCAAGGAAACAAGAAATGGGGGGTGGGGAATAGAAAAGAGATTTACAAGCTATATAAAACTGAATAAAAAGTTTCAAATTAATATTTTAGTAATTCAGTTAAATGTACTCTTTATATGAATTTAACATTTTAAAAACGTTACAATAAAATTTTCAGAAATATTCAGGAATTAGAATTGTAGCCAATATAAGATTTATCAATCAGAAAAAATATTTAACGTACTTACAATTTTTATTTACTTTTATTTTATTTTATTTTTTTCGAATTCCAAGGACAGCTCCATATACAGCCATCTTGCAGTAATCTAGATCTGACCATAGACAGAGCTATTTGATCCAGAAACAAGATGCAATTGGTACAAACAATAAATTTGGACTCCCAGACTATGTATCGATTCTACTTGGGGGGGTGCTATCCCATTCAGAATTATCGATAGAACAACTTCAAACTTTAGAAGGCCATGTGCAGAATTATAGCCTGTAACTGCCTTATAAGCTAAATTTAATTCAGTTATCACTTTTTTAAAAAATAAACCAGCTTGATTATTGCAGTATCTTTTAAACATAATTATCTAGTTTGGCAATCAACACAGGTGTAATTATACCAATAACTAGTAATTACACCAATGGAAAAAACATCTGAATGTAATATTACCATAAATTTAATATTTTTCTTCCCCTGGAATTCCCACTGCTGCATACAATGTTTGACTTGTTCAGTTTCCGAATATTTTAGTAACAATTTATAAAAAATCTCCAATGAGCAGCTTTTCTAAGTAATGGTGGACATCAACCAAATGAACATGTAGCTGGCCTCTTTCCACACTTCTATCTTATCTTTACTTTCAAATAATACAAATTAAATTCATCCATCTAAATTATGCAAAGTGGTACTTCAGTCAACTGTTTATTTATTTTATTTATTTTATTATTCATCTTTCTATGCTGCCCACTCTCCAAGGACTCTGGGCGGCTTACACCAAAGACAGTGTAAGCCTGTGAAACTGTTATTAGTTTCACTGTAACAAAAAAATTAAATCAAAGCTGATACTAAAGACTTTTCTTATAAAGTATCTGTCAAACCTAAAATAGGTTTCAGGAAGTTTTCTTTTCTATCCAGCCATCAGTGTGCAAAGTTCCCTTTACCAAAAAAAACCAATAATATTATAGAATTTTGTTTAGTGTCCTTATATAGTAAAGATCTTAAAATGGCTTTGACTGATATTCAGTTGCATTCACTTTGCAAATTTATTAGAATGTGTCACAGCACAAAACTTACTGGAAATTTAAGAAAATTCAGTTCAAGGTCCCAATTAATATATCATAATCACCAATTCAATTTTTTCACAGATCAGGTTTTAAGATCGAGATAAGATTGCCAGCTTTAATTCATGATTCATTTGTGAATAAATGTAACAATTCCCTACTATTACAGACATTTCAATCCCCATGAACGTAAGAGATCCTATTTGATGGTGATCAGTTGATGATAATGTTAAGTACAGGTGGTCCTCATTTAACAGCACTGTTCAAACTTGCAATGACATTAAAAAAAGTAGTAATTACAACTAGTCTTCAAAAGTTTTAGCCCTCATATAATGCAATCTAGCATTCATCAACCAATCAAGATTTTGGTCATGCAACCTGATTTGCAAGCTTCCCTTCTGGCTTCCCACAAGCAAACTCAATGAGGAAGCTAGCAGGAAGTCAGAAGATCACATGAGGTCCTTGATTAACAATGATAACTGGGAACTGACAGAACTGATGCTAAGCCATGTGGTCATGTCACATAGAACTTAAACAACAAAAAATCCTGTCCCAATTACTATTGTTAAACTAATCTACCTGTACTTTTAAACCTTCCTAAAGATCCCTATATGCTAAATGGCAACTATAAATATAGAATGTACGTATATGCCACAAATACAGTCAGATATTTACTGACACACTGATGCTTGACATGGATGAAATCTGGCTCCTAAACCTCCCAAGGTAAGATACAGTGTAAATTTTAAAATCCTACCTACAGTCAGATTAGGGTGAACTGGTACCAATACAATCTCTCGTAGTTCAATCAGGGAAACACCTGAGGAGTGCGATAGGGAGTATATCAATAGAACCTGCCTCACTGTTCTATCATTAGGCAAATAAACTCAAATACTGGAGATTACTAAGATTATATAATACTGTAAGAAAAAGGATTCATGATACAATGATACATGCTTGTCTACCAGATACATGGTTGGTCATAAAAGGGCAACATGTTACATCTCTTCATGACTTGCTTTATCCAATTTTCTCCAAAGCTTTAAACTTCAAATAGGGTTACTTATAAGAGAACATGTCAATCTGCATTCCCTCTCTATTCATCCTGCTTTATATTTCAGTACAATTGCAAGTTATGTTTGCATATACTTAACAGCTGAGGGCCATTTTATTTATAATTTTCATAAAAGTATAATGTACACATTCTCAGATTTCACTCTCATTATCCTTAACTATCATGAAGGATCTAGCTGAGTTATTAATCATGGTCCTATTTTGACTTCAGTGTCAGTTGTCCATGTATAATAATACCATGCAGCACGATATTTAGTCTCTCAATATAAATGTAACTATTCTAACCAAAATACCAGAAATTATTTAATAACTACAACCAAATCTTATTCCAAATAAATGTTATTGGTATCAAAACCTATTACATTTTTTGATTTTGCTTCTCTAAAAGTGGTTTCAATCATTTTCTATTTCTTAACATGGGTTAATTTAATATATAATTTTTCAAAATTAATTCCTCCACAAGAAATTACTGGCATTTTAATTATCACAGAAAAAAGCAATTAATGGCATTTGTTTTAATGTGTATAAGCAAAATTATCTTTGGGCTTAGTTCTAAATTTTAAAAAAAGATGCTGATCTGAAGGAATCCTGGAATCTGAATATTCCATTGGTTTTGCTATCAATCCACATCCCCAGCTAAAGTAACCTTTGACTCTGCTGGCTATGAATTATGGCTGTGCTGGTTGTGAATTCTAACACCTCTGGAGAGCCAAGGCTAGGAAAGGCAATTTAGAATTTCTAATATGAATACTTTATTACCTAGGCCTCAACAATTGCTTTTAGCCTAGACATCAAATAAGGAAAATTAACAGCTAAATTCAGGATGAATCATCTGCTACATACCTTTAAAGCACATTTCCGTCCTGTCACTTTGTGAAAACATTCCAATACTTTTCCATTAATACCAAGGCCCAAAACCCGTTTAGAGATTTTATAGTCATCTGTAACTGCATATTTCTTTATTTCCCCTTTGACAGCAGCAGCTGGGCTAGGCAAAAGTCTTGTGTTGCTTCTGCTTTCATCTTGAATCTCTGATGAGGATCCTTGTTGATTCTCACTTTGTTCCATAGCAGGTAGAAGCTCAATTTTTTAAAAAAACTGCTGTCCCAATCTTCAGAAAGATTCTTCCATTAGGCTGTTGAAGCAAACATTTCAAAGAGACTAGATCCATTTCCTAGGATTTCACAGAACATCCTCCTTTAAAAAAGAAATGTTAACTGTAAGGCACAGATTGGACTATTTACTAAACCTTCTTTCTTGGTTTTATGCTATAGCACAGAATTTATAACATGGTAAGGAACATAATTCACTCAATAATCTTGTGATATACCAGGAGTGCAGCATTAAGATTTACTGATCACTATCATATTTTCATAGGAAAAAGGTGCCTGTGCCTCTAAAAGTCATATAACATTAAGCAATTTAAAACACTAAGCACTGACAAATATTATGTTCCATGTAAGAAACTGGGTTGTTAAGGACTTTAGGTTTGAAAACAAAAAGGTGCTTTGGAGCCTGGAAGTTGCATGAACATAATACCTATCTGCACTCTTTAAAGCAGCTACATCTTTTCTCAGGATTCGGTGACTGTCCTCTGTTGTGTGATCCCAAGAAAGCACACATTTGGTTTAATAAGGTGTAAATAGGGACTGCATTCATGTCTCCATGGTCTCAGAAGCATCTTCTTGCTTTCAAGCCAAAGAGCTTGTTGTATAGTTATAGTAAGAAATGCTGTAACAAAGAATTTATGACATTGTGCACTTGCTTGATAGAAAAAAATGGAAGTCCTGGATTGAAAACTAAAAAACAACAACAACCACTTAAAATCATGTTTTCTTATTTTTTAAAATAAAAATACAACTTTAAGATTTTTAAGAAGGTTCATTTAAGCAATATTCAGTTCACCTAACTAGGAATAATTATGTAGGCATGTACTAAGAATTTGTAAATCATCCCCATAAGCAAAGCCCTCACAAATGAAATTGCTTCCAGTGTATGCAAGAACTAAATTAATGAAATAAATCACTGTATTTAACATTTTGTATAATAGCTGTATTCTGAGCTTCTCTGAATAACTAGCAAATAAAGACAAGGTGTATATAATACTGATTACTTGGAAGCATATGATTAGCAGCTAAACTGGTAATTTTTCATCAAAACAAAATTAAAATTGGTAACAACACAATGAGGCTCCATTCCAATCAGTGTGATTCCAAATTAAAAATCCTAGCAAATAAAATTTTAAGACGTTCCTGCTCAATTCCCCACATTGGTGCTAAATGCAACTCAAAATTACTTCAATAATGCTGAAAAGGCCTCATGTGAATTACAAGCATTATAAAACCACAGCAAAGGCAAAGAAAGACCACAATTCATAGATACACCCCCATAATCCTTCTTTGACCCATATCTTTCCTTTTAATTTGACAAATTGTGTCGTCTGCACAACTAAATTGCAGGGCTGTGTCTTGATAATACAGGTTGTTCTTGACTTACAAATACAATTGGGACTGAAATTTCCATGGCTAAACAATGCAATCTTTAAAAGTGACTTGCATCCAATTTTATGTCCTTTTTGCCATAGTCGTTAAGCAAATCCAGCTTGCCCCATTGACTTTGCTTTCTGGGAAGCTCACAAATGGTGAACACACAATCCTGGGAACACTGCAACCATTGTAAATACATGTTGGCAAGAGCCCAAATTTTAATGTGACACCGTGACAGTCAAAGTGCAGGACCAGCTGTAAATTACTTTTTTCAGTGCAATCATAACTTTGAAGTTATTAAACAAATGATCATAAGTTGAAGACTGCCTGTATTTGATAAGACATTTCGAGACTCCCTTTCAGCCATGAGTCTGCCTATTCATATTTGCCATGAACCCAAATATGATTTCATGGTCAGAACAAGCTTTTGGGAAAAAAAAGTTACCATTTATATATTAAGGGTACTCATGAAATTTTAAAATCCTAAAACAACAGCCAACTAACTACTTGGATTGGCAAAACACCAGAAACAGGATATTTTTCAAAGAAAAATACTTTTTCAAAGAAAAAATACTTTTTCAAAGAAAAAATACTTTATAACAAAAACAGCAGTTGTTTCCTCATCTGAGGCAGAATATCTTCCCTTTAAGGAAAGAAAAACACCCAACACGTCAGTCTACCCGTTCTTCTACAGCACCTGTGACCCCATCCCTTCTGGCAAGCAAATGAATGGCGGAAATTTACAGCTAACATCTGCCCCACTTGGACCATCATCTCTCTCTGACATGGATGTAGAAAATGAGGGGTGTTTTTTTTTTCCCCTCAAGGCCATTTTCTTATGAAGGGCACTTGGTTGAGTCTTCCCTTCTGGACAACTCTTGGTCTGACTCTGAACTGGCCAAAGAGGTGAATTATTCCAGAAGAGAGGGGCTGCCCCGCTTCAAGGTTGGCTGGAGGTTAACACAACCCTCTCACACAACCCAGAACGACCCATCCGTTCGTGTACACTTCCTCACAGCAGCAACGTTTGGGGACCGGGGGGTAAGAAAACCCCGCGACAGAGCCGCGGAAGATTCAACGAGGGAGGTTACCTTCGTTGCGCGCATGCTCCTCACAGGTGGTCGCTCCGCCGCTGCTCCCTCAAACCTGTGGCTAGCCAGGAGGGGAAGGGGGGGAGGAGGGAGGAATTGGCGGCCATGGGAAGCCTCGCCCCCGCCAGGCCCAGCCGAAGCTCTTCGCCAACCGAGCAGGACAAGCTCAGGCAGCAGCTCATGTGACTCTCCGCCCCGACCGGCCCAACCCGGTCCCGCCATAGACAATTGCCAACATGGAGGGCGGGGCATTGTAGGCGGGAGAGCACGTGCTCCGGGGCACCTGGCTACCCGGCGAGGGAGTTGCGTGGTACCCCCCACTCCGCCACCAGCAGCCGGGCTGGATGCATCGGCGCCTGACCCGCCCAGCTGGCGATTCACAAACTTGTATTGTCGTCCGAAGCTAAAAGGCGCTGGAAGAGGAAAAGCGGGGCGGGGCAGAGCTGCTGAAGCGAAGGGCGAGCAGCGGCCCTCAATAGTTACAGAGAACTACAGTGAAAGGCGGAATCTCGCCGATCTGAGGGTGGGTTGTTAGCAGTGGGGTGACATTAGGTCGTCTATCTTTTGGAATGATGTCCAGTCCGAAAATACCTTGTGGTCTCTCTGAAACGCCCTGCCTTTTCTTTTCGTGCTCATCAGTCTCTTTCCCCAGACAGCGAAGCTTGTGTTGAGAACAAAGGGAGCCGTGGGGGGAAGAGGCTGGGAACCGCCGTCTTTCGCCGGAGCCCCAAAGACTGAAGAACAACGAAGAATATAGATAGATAGAGAGAGAGAGAGAGAGAGAGAGAGAGAGAGAGACCATTGAGGCCGTTCGACAATAATTCGACAGTTGAAATGTCTTCGAGTATTAGTAGTATATTATATTCGACAGTAAAAAGAGCGGATGCAAGCTATTACAGGAAACGAATCTGACCGTGATGGTTCTGTAGATTCGGATTTCGGAAATGCAGTTGTTTCTCAACTACAATCTGGTATCAGGGCAACACCTACTGGTGGAAGGAAGGTTGGATCGACAAGACGGGCTGCGGGAGCAATATTTCCACGGTGGCTTGAAAAAGGGAAAGGAGGAATGTGTGTTCAGCCTACAGTGCTGTGCTAGACACGTGTGTGCCTGTCTTTTAGTTGTAAAGAATAAAAGATGAGAAGTGCACCTCTAAGCAGTTGAGTTTTAAAGCCAGATGCAGAGACTCAAGTTCACTTGATTGTATTTTGTAACCTGCATGCAGGGCCGGATTTAGATGAAAAGGGGCCCTAGGCTATTCCACTTATGAGGCCCTTTCACCTATAGTGAAAGTGTAATTTTAATTTTGCTAACAATTTGAATGTAGGCCCCTCTTGATCTTGAGGCCCTAGGCTGAAGCCTAGTTAGCCTATAGGAAAATCTGGCCCTGCCTGCATGGTTGGATATGTTCATGGATTGAGGGATCCAAAGGTGCTTTTTCAAGAGGCAACTGGACTATCTGGTTTTTCTTTGAAGAGGTTTGGCTTCTCATCTGAAGAAGCTTCTTGGATGAGAAGCAAAATGTCTTCCCCCCCCCAAAAAAAACCCACCAGAAAGTCCATTTGCCTCTTGAAAAACATTACCTTTGAGACAACCATGATCTGGATGACTGAGAATCTCCATAGAATTTGGATGGAGGAATGAATTTGAGAGGGCTTGGGTGCTCTTTACTTGTTCTAAAATGTTAAGCATGGCACTGATGACAGCTTCACTGTCAGAGTCATTATAAGCCTCAGTTCACTTGAACAGCCTTCCCTGCAGTAATATATAGTAACATTGAATGTTATTTACAAAGTACACTTTTCTATCAATAGAATATTTGCATCTCAGGATTAAATTGTGGGGTCTTTGGTGGTCTCAGCTTGGTGGTTTTCTTGCAGGCGTTTCATCACCAAACTAGGTAACATCATCAGTGTTAATAAGGAGTGGGGTTTGCTCTCAATTTATATTCTAATAGCTTGCCCAGATTAATAGCTTAATCTGTTAAATCTGCCCTGTCAGTGGGAGTGGTTTTGGTGGTACTTTGGTTGAGCTGTTTATTGCTACTTGTTTGCCTAACAATAACCTCTAATATTTTTCTATAACAGCAGTTTATTTATTTATTTATTTTATTTACCAAAAATTTATATGCCACCCTTCTCCCTAAGGACTCGGGATGGGGAACACAAGTTAAAAATATACAATAATAAAAAGTCAAGTGATTAAAACCCAGATTAAAACAACAACAATCAAAATAATAAAACCCAAGGATCAGGGTCAACCCATTTGTTGGAACAGCCAAGTCCTTAAGTCCTGACAGAAGGAGCGGAGATCAGGCGCCATCCGAAGCTCGGTGGGTAACTCGTTCCAGAGGACCGGGGCGCCTACAGAGAACGCTCTACCCCTGGACGTCGCCATCTGACATTGTCTGGCCGACGGTACCCTGAGGAGGGCAGCCCTGTGAGAGCGAACAGGATGGTGGGAGGCAGGTAGGAAATGGTCCTGCAAATACCCCCGACCTAAGCCACGTAGGCTTTAAAGACAAGTACCAGCACCTTGAAGTGGATCTGGAGGACCACTGGTAGCCAGTGCAGCTCGTGTAGGAGAGGTGTTACCCAGGAGTAACGGGGAGCTCCCGTAACCACCCGCGTGGCCACATTCTGGACCAGCTGGAGCCTCTGGGTGCACCTCAAGGGCAGCCCCATGTAGAGGGAATTGCAGTAATCCAAATGAGAAGTAACCAGGGCATGAGTGACTGTGCGAAGGGCATTTCAGTCTAGGAAAGGGCACAACTGGCACACCAGGCGAGCCTGGGTGAAAGCCCCCCTGGTCACGGCCGTAAGATGGTCTTCCAAAGACAGCCGGGAATCCAGGAGGACACCTAAGTTGAGGGCCCTCTTGAGGGGAGGAAGCACCTCCCCCCCCCATCGAAAGTGATGGAACTTCTAGAACATGAGACGCCAGCATCCATAGCCACTCAGTCTTGGAAGGGTTGAGTCTTAGCCTGTTCCTACCCATCCAGGCCCGTACCGCCTCCAGGCAGCGGAACATCACGGAAAGGGCATCCCCGGGTGGAGATATATAGCTGAGTATCTGAGTTGCTAGATTTTGGGCATGCTACATTGATAAATACAAAAGCTGCCCAAGTTTGATGTGATTATACCCTGCTGTTTTAAACAATGAACTGTTAATGAATCTTAAAAGACCGCTTTTACATAATCCACCAGGTTTCCTTCATTGCACTTGCCATTTAATTCTTCCCACTTATGCAGCTTTCTGATTGCCCCTGCCCTAGAACCAAATTATTTCCAAATTCACAAAAAACTAAATATGAACTGAGAAGTGTTTGTTTTTTGTGTGAACATATTAATGCCCACCCTTGCTTCTTAAATTATGTGAATACTGTATGCAGAATGCCAATCTTTATTTAGTTTTGATAGTTAATTAACATTAATGGCTGTGTTGGAAAATTAGTTTTTACCACACCCGTTGATGCTGAACAAATCCATATACAAGAGAAAGATACTAAAAATGACATAGAAGTAAGATCTCTACTTTTTTTATGAACAAACCCAATTTGTCACTGTATAATTATACATATACTGTATAAGTTTATATGCATAAACATTTGTGGTTATAGAATTAGGATACTTAACCAGTAGTCCAAATTTCATTCCATTTGTATAGTATGTTAATGTTGCTTAAAGTGCTAATGGCAGACCTTAAAACACTATGCTAATGAGAACATTATAAAACCCCATTGAGCATTCAATTAAATGCCTTGGGAGTCAAACCAGAATCTTCGCATCCATAGTTACATGAGGTGGAATAAAATTTATAAACAATAATACCTCTTTCCTTGCACTATTGAATATAATGATGAATGAATAGAATAATAGAATAGAGTAGAAAATAGAATAGAATAGAATAGAATAGAATAGAATAGAATAGAATAGAATAGAATAATAGAATAACAGAGTTGGAAGGGACCTTTAAGGTCTTCTAGTCCAACCCCCTACTTAAGCAGGAAACCCTACACCACTTCAGACAAATGGTTATCCAACGTCTTCTTAAAAACTTCCAGTGTTGGAGCATTCACAACTTCTGGAGGCAAGTTGTTCTACTGGTTAATTGTTCTCACTGTCAAGAAATTTCTCCTTAGTTCTAAGTTGCTTCTCTCCTTGATTAGTTTCCACCTATTGCTTCCACTACCCTCAAGTGCTTTGGAGAATAGCTTGACTCTTCTTTGTGACAGCCCCTGATATATTGGAACACTGCTATCATATCTCCCCTAGTCCTTTTTTTCATTAAACTAGCCATATCCAGTTCCTGCAATCGTTCTTCATATATTTTAGCCTCCAGTCCCCTAATCATCTTTGTTGCTCTTCTCTGCACTCTTTCTAGAGTCTCAACATCTTTTTTACATCGTGGCGACCAAAACTGAATGCAGTATTCCAAGTGTGGCCTTACCAAGGCATTATAAAGTGGTATTAACACTTCACGTGATCTTGATTCTATCCCTCTGTTTATGCAGCCTTGAACTGTGTTGGCTTTTTTGGCAGCTGTTGCACACTGCTAACTCATATTTAAATGATTGTCCACTATGATTCCAAGATCTCTCTCACAGTTACTACTATTGAGCAAGGTACCACATATACGGTACCTGTGCATTTTGTTTTTCTTGCCTAAACGTAGAACCTTACTTTTTTCACCATTGAATTTCATTTTGTTAGATAGCACCCAATGTTCAAGTTTGTCAAGATCCTTCTGTATCTTAAGTCTATCTTCTGGAGTGTTGGCTATTCCTGCCAGCTTGCTGTCATCTGCAAATGTAATGAGTTCCCCATTTATCCCCTTGTTCAAGTCATTGATGAAGATGATGAAGAGTACTGGGCCTAAAACAGAGCCTTGGGTACTCCACTGAAATGAAAAATGATCAATCCTGGAATGGTATGTGGGAAAGATCTTGGAAGAGAGACAAAGAGCAAAGGACTACCTGTAGTCAGATGAAAGGGCAGCAAAGCCTGCAACTGGATAGTGGGTGGGGGCAAGAGGCTGAGAAGAGACCTTCTCTAGTTTCTCAGGCTATAAAGGAGATGGTGGGGAGGGATTGGTCTTTCAAACTTCCAACATTATATCAATGTAGCTTTATAA